GTTACGTCCGCAGTTGTTATTAGCGAAGTTGACTGTATCTCTTATCTGGGTCTTCCGCTACCGGGCACTACCCATACCTTTGAAATGTCCAAAACTCTGAAAGGAAAACGTTTCGACAAGGAAGGGACCGACATCTGGCACACGACGTTACCATTGCGACCACAATTTGGCAAATGACTAGAAATGTTTCCACTAAAAATCACCCACAGGGTGCCCTGCAGATCGAGGTGCCCGCAACTTCGATGTCCGGAAAGGAGATATACATATACGACTATGATAATCGGCTCATCACAGTTATACATCACTACCCAAAAAACGGTCCCTCTGTTTTGGGTCGTGGTGTATAACTGTGTGAAACACGAACTGTGCCTACAGTGGTGGAGCCTATGTGTTTAACATGAACTGTGGCTACAGAGGAGCCTATGTGTGAAACATGAACTGTGGCTACACTCCTACAGTGGAGTCTACACACCCTTAGGAAGGTGATCATACCCGAATGAGTTCACTTTTGGAAATTTGGTTAGTTTGAGGGGGAGGGAGTAGGGAGTGCGATCATTTTGGTTTTGCTCTCTTGCACTCCATGCAAGATTTAATGAAGCTGAGTCCCCGTCGCCCGATCTTGTCCCCAAATACCCCCCCCCCCGACCCTGCTGCCCGTGCTCCAGTTACGTCCTTGAGCAAGATCAATTCGTCATGATGTGCAGAGTAGGCTAGGTTTTTTTTTAATTTTTTAATTTTTTACAAGATAACCACAAACCATCATGGTGCAAACGCCGGCAAAAACGCACAGAGAGATTGCATACCCCCGTACTATGTGCGTTCTATTATGCCCGTGAATCGATTCATGAATCCATTCGTGAATCGCTCCCTGGCCATTCTCATCACCCCATGTGAATAGGGTGAATGGATTCCGAACCGATTCCTGCGCTCATGACATGAAATAGAACGACGAGATTCCTTTCATGAATTGATTGATGGTAGTGATCGAACACACTCACTGAGAGCCATGGCTGGTAGCACACGCTAGCAATGTAAACCGAAGAGACCAACAGGAAGAAGTTCTGCCTTTCACTACCTCCTCCCCCCCCCCCCCCCCCCCCACCACCACCCCCCCCCCCCCACACACACACACCACCACCCCCCCCCCCCCACCACCCCCCCACCCCACCCCCCCCCCACACACACCACCACCACCCCCCCCCCCCCCCCCCCACCACCACCACCCCCCCCCCACACACACACACACCACCACCCCCCCCCCCCCCCCCCCACACCACCACCCCCCACACCACCACCCCCCACACCACCACCACCACCCAGACATGCACTGCAGCAGTCTGCTAACACTAATGTGTGTACTTAGCCCAATCTCCACGTGTACACACATGAACACATGCACATGCACACACACATACACTCCGCCCCACCAACCAACACCTACACACACACACACACACACACACACACACACACACACACACACACACACACACACACACACACACACACACACACACGTGCATGCACAAATACCCCCCCCCCCCCACCCCACCCACCCACACAGAGAGTAAAATTGACGTACCGCTCTCCTCTTGGTGAAAATAATGGCGATGATGGCGGTAACAGCCACAGCAACACCAGCCACAATACCAACAATCAATATGGTTGGTGACTTGCTCTTCGCGGCTGCGCCTATCGGTGTAGTAACAGCTTGGTTACCACCGGAAACACTGGCAACATAAATAGCACGCACACACGCACACACACACACACACACACAGGAAATTGTCTCTGGAGAGCAGCGGCTGTGCACCAATGCTTCTCAAGCTTCACAGCAGTATGACGTAGGGGTTTACACCAATGGAGAATGCCACTGTTGTGTCCTGATTCCCGTGCACACAAGCAGCCATACATCACTACCACGCACAGTAGGATATGATATGATCACATCTTAAATTAATGAGCAATGTGATAATGCTAGTGCTACAAAAGTAGATATATTACTACTACTCACGGAACATGTGAATACGTACATGTGCAAGTGTAAACAAATCCGCTGATCCCCGACGTGCACGGTGTACAAGAGTACATAAGTACCTGAGCTGTAAAGTACACAGTACTGTACATATTCCTACTTCACATGCACTGTACAGGCTCACGAGACTTACCCATTGCCGGTGACCTTGTGCGTAGCAGGGGCACCTGGGCAGGGGCAAGGCAGAAGACCATAACAGAACACACACTGGCCATGTTTACAAAACTTGATCAACGACAGCACTCTCTAGGGAGATTGTGCACGGCATGAGGCAAGGATGTGCACAGCATGCATGCGTAAGGCATATACAGCACTGGGCAAAGAAATCCAACCTCATGAATAAAATAGCATTGCCGGGCGCTACGCAGCCCTATCACTACACATACTGGTCTGTGAACACTAACGCAGCGCTACTTTATTCACGAGGTTGGATTTCTCTGGCCAGCAATGTACGTGCAAGGCAGGTTACCGGTACTTACCATGTCTGATGTGCCAAGTGCATTGCCCATGTGGACGGCAAGGACGCTTGATAGATATTTGGAGAGAGGGTACATTTTGTCTCTAACTTACACCCGAATAGGATCTGCAGTCTTCGACCAGTTTGGTGTAGGGTCTGACCTACACAATTCCCACTGTTTCAGGAGCTGAATCTTCGCCTTGACCCCCGAGGGTAGTGGTGCTCCTGCGAATGTGGGAAGCTAGGTCTAGCCGAGTGTTACACGAATCGTGATTTTTTAAACCCGAATTCCATAGTTTCAGCAAACTAGTAACACACATACTATTTACTACAACAACTGGCGAAGAGTTCCGCGTCTGCAATGCTTTAAGCAGTAACCGTCTGGGCTTAACCCGCAAGCGGTGTTCCTCTGGCACGTACCCAATGGGCAGATACATGTGCCATTTTCTAGCCCCCACATTCCCACAGCTTTTCATACCACCTTCTCCTGGCATATATACTGGCATGGTCGGTACCCAATCTTCATGTTGCCTGATGATTGCGAGAGCATGAAACTTCAAGTCGCAGCAAACAAGCCTTGATTGTCCTTGTTGGTCTGTTCTGTGCCATTTTCTACACAACCTGTTTTTCTCGTTGTGCACGGTGAGCACTTGGGACGAACATTTTTTAGGCTCAGATGCGTGACTCAAAAGATGCGACCAGATCATGCCAAGGGCTATGGTTAGAAACATACTCACACAGTGAACAATCACAAGACTTGAAATACAGTGGGCCCTTTATAATCCAGCAATATTTGTGCTCCGGAAATTCGGCGGGATTAGTGAGGGTGCTGGATGAAGAAATCTGATTTACAGCTGCAATGTGCAAGAAGAGGACCTTTTGGCTGCGGAAAATTGTGCTGGTTTATAAAGGGTGCTGGTTTATAGAGGGTGCTGGTTTAGAGGGTGCTGGTTTATAGAGGGATGGCTGTAAGTTACATATACATGTGACAGAGACCAACCTGTTGGTGTGCCGTGGTGGTGACGACTGCCAGTACCCATGTTTGGCATCGAGCCAGTACCCGTATGAGCAGGTGTGGTGTGGCCAGGTCGGGTTCTGTACGGACGTGATCCAGTTCCGGTGAACGCAGATGTGGTGCGGCCAGGTCGGGTTCTGTACGGACGAGATCCAGTGCCGGTGAACGCAGGTGTGGACGGTCCTGGGCGAGTGCGGATCGGGCGAGTGCCGGTGCGAGTGCCGGTGCGAGTGCCTGTTCCGTGGTGAGATGGCGACGTGCGGAAGGGGCCGCTTCCCGTCCCGGTGTACACAGGAGTGGTCGGTGGATGTCTGCGGCTGCCTGTACCCGTCGGCTGTGGTCGACTGTGTGGTGGGTGCTGCCTAGAAGTGGAGGATGGAGGTGGTGGCATGCCTTTACCTGGACACAGTTGTACAAGACACAAGTTGGAAATGGCAGGCAACAGCAACGTGTTATGTTCCATCTTCCTATTTCCACGGTGCACTGCTTCTACTACTGTTATGCGCTATCTCAATCTCAAATTCTCAAATTCTCAAATTCTCTCCGTTATCGTTTGCAAAGGTGCCTCCCTCTTGGATGCACATGTTCTTTTCTCCTACTTGAAGTATGTATCGGCGCACATGAGTAACGATGAATCCGAGACCTTTGGTCGGAGGAGTGACTTTTGCCCCGCCCCCACTTCCATCCAATATCAGGACAGGTTCCGCTAGCTTAACTTTCTGCACATTCCAGTAGAAGTAAACTGCGTAATTCTTTCATTTCTTTTGTTCATTTGCCTTATGCAAAGACTAGCCAAGCTTGCTTGCTGATGTCAACGAGAACAAGCGTATAATAATAATAATAATATTACCCATGTAGGGCAGAGCTTTGTACACAAGAGAGTTTGGAAGCTATGTCGCAACGCAGAGTTGCGACATAGCTTCCACTCACAGCTTCCAATCACAGCTTCCACTCTCTCTTGTGTAATAATAATAATAATAATAATGGACACTGAAACAAAAATTGAACTATTATAGAAAATCTAAGTTAGAGAAATAACACTAAGAGCAACAACAGTGAAATTTACAAGTGTGAATTTTAACAATCAAAGCGAGAAATGAACAAAGGAGAAAGGAAGGAAAGACAACGTGATAACACATAACAGCAGTACATGAAACCTAGAACATTAACGGCCATGCTTGGCCGCACTAAACACGACACGTTACTTGAACAATTTCAACCCAATTATACTATCTTTCTGTACACACAAATTAGGCTTGTACAGACGCTGATAGATAGCTTCCAACACTTTTAACTGTAGTCCATAACCATGACGACCACGGCACAATACAGTGAACGAAGAGTCGGAATACGCACCCCGGCCGTTAATGTTCTAGGTTTAATGTACTGCTGTTATGTGTTATCACGTTGTCTTTCCTTCCTTTCTCCTTTGTTCATTTCTCGCTTTGATTGTTAAAATTCACACTTGTAAATTTCACTGTTGTTGCTCTTAGTGTTATTTCTCTAACTTAGATTTTCTATAATAGTTCAATTTTTGTTTCAGTGTCCTTTAGTACAACGACGATTCCTGATGAGTGTTGTACGAAAATATTAATAATAATAATAATAATACGAAGTAGTGGTTGCGACTTCGGCGATGATTTGTAAGAAAGGGTTTGCTCCCCACCCCTCTTCAGGCACAATCTTCCTCAGCCTACTCAAGCTCAACTGATGAGGGGTGAATTCCCCGAAACACTGTGTATTGAGCAGGGAGTGGTGCTTTCTTGCAGGTTTGCCGAGTCAAAGGTTCGATGGACTTCTCGTGTGCTCTGGATGGCAGTCGTGAGTCAGTCAAGTGTCAAGTAAAGTCGGCGGAATAGCGCGAGCTCCGGTGTGGGGAGCAAACCCTTTCTTACAAATCATCGCCGAAGTCGCAACCACTACTTCGTACTGTTGTGCCCAGCGCGGGCTTGCGACTAGTTGGTTTGGAGGTGACAGCGTTGCGAATGACCGAGGGTCCTCGACGTCTGTCTCACCGTCCAGGAGCGACACTGACTCACGCTGCTATCTGGTGTTCACGTGGTGTTTGTCGCGCTTGAAACGGAGCGTCTCTGTAAGTTTGTATCCCTGGTGATGTTTGTGCCTGGAGAGCACTATATAAGTGGTGCTCTTCAGGCACAATCTTCCTCAGCCTACTCAAGCTCAACTGATGAGGGGTGAATTCCCCGAAACACTGTGTATTGAGCAGGGAGTGGTGCTTTCTTGCAGGTTTGCCGAGTCAAAGGTTCGATGGACTTCTCGTGTGCTCTGGATGGCAGTCGTGAGTCAGTCAAGTGTCAAGTAAAGTCGGCGGAATAGCGCGAGCTCCGGTGTGGGGAGCAAACCCTTTCTTACAAATAATAATAATGATAATAATAATAGTAATAGTACAGGTCGCATGTCTCCCAAATAATGGGTTCCACGCATCTGTCAACTGTTTCATCATGAAATAGATTGCAGCAGGAAGAATAGCATACGAAAAAAGCCATATACAGGTTCTAGCACATGACAAGTACATGCCATTTTTTCTGTGTAATAAAAATGATAATAATTCTTTACCAGCGAGTTAGGGCGTAGAGTTTAATCAAGGGTCGCAAGAGAAGCTCAATTCATGCATTGCTGAGAGGCAGTTATGACAGTGCACGCTCTCTTACTTGTTGGTCCTACAGTGCTTGGTTTGTTGCTGGCCACTGTGCTGCCTGTGACAGGAAGAAGAACAGGGAAAGATCTTTTGCTAGCAGATTAACAGGGTGGTATACACGCACGCACCACGTACCATGTGAGGACAGCTATGCATTTTAATACAATCATAGTGTGTTGTTAATACAACACACGCACACACACACACACACACACACACACACACACACACACACACACACACACACACACACACACACACACACACACACACACACACACACACACACACACACACACACACACACACACACACACACACACACACACACACACACACACACACACACACACACACACACACACACACACACACACACACACACACACACACACACACACACACACACACACACACACACACACACACACACACACACACACACACACACACACACACACACACACACACACACACACACACACACACACACACACACACACACACACACACACACACACACACACACACACACACACACACACACACACACACACACACACACACACACACACACACACACACACACACACACACACACACACACACACACACACACACACACACACACACACACACACACACACACACACACACACACACACACACACACACACACACACACACACACACACACACACACACACACACACACACACACACACACACACACACACACACACACACACACACACACACACACACACACACACACACACACACACACACACACACACACACACACACACACACACACACACACACACACACACACACACACACACACACACACACACACACACACACACACACACACACACACACACACACACACACACACACACACACACACACACACACACACACACACACACACACACACACACACACACACACAAATACACACACATATACACACACGAGCTCGAGTATGCCACACAGATCCATACCGCTTCTGCAAGCTGACACGTTCCCAGGACATAATATACAGAGAAGCTGAATTGCAGAGCTATGAAGGAAATATGATCGAAAATCGAGATATTTTTCAGACCTTTGACGCTCCACTGTAGCAATAACAGTGAGAAAAAGAACACATTTCAGTCTCTTCAACATCATCTTGAAAAGTCTGATTCACTACAGTACTGTCAGGCGCCGAAGAACGGAGCGCCGAAGAACGGAGCGCCGAAGAACGGAGCGCCGAAGAACGGAGCGCCGAAGAACGGAGCGCCGAAGAACGGAGCGCCGAAGAACGGAGCGCCGAAGAACGGAGCGCCGAAGAACGGCACGCCGAAGAACGGAGCACCGAAGAACGGAGCACCGAAGAACGGAGCACCGAAGAATGGAGCGCCGAAGAACGGACAGGCTAGAATGTTACCAAGCACAGGATACCAATGTAAACACGGTGCATAGACACATGAAAATAAGAACGGTCTAGGCTAGCAGGCTAGCAGACTCTCCACTGTTGCCTTGTCGTCTTTTCACCGCACTTCCCAGCCGTAACGCACGGACAGCGCTCGGCTACTGATTATGCACGCCTGGGTGAAAACTTGGAAACAATCGTTTTGCGTGGTGTGACCGAGGACTGTTTGTGTGTCACAGGTTGGAGGTGTGGTGGAGGGGTTGGAGGCAGGTGCAAGGGAGTAGCTGGTTCCCCTTTTAGGGGAGTGCTCTTAGGTGTAGGATGACTGGTACATGTCATTCATGCCGGGTCATTGCGTGCATGCTGAACCTAGGTTGAACCTTTTCGGGGTGCACGTGCCCCCCCCCCCCCCCCCCCCCCCGTGCCCCAATGCGGGCTACGTGCCTGGAGGTGTAGTGAAACTCTAGGTCTTCTTCTCCTTGATCCCAATGGCTTCATGCATTTCATTGCCACCAAATCTCTCACAAAGATGCACCTTCATTATTGTACTACTTGGATGAACCGGACGACCCCGGACGACCCAGATGAAGGATGATGAACGTTCATTATTGTACTCACGAGTCGTGGCAGTGGATTTCGTTGCCGTTTGTCCAATCTTCGCAGAGCAGGACGTGGACTGAGCTTGGACCTGTGTGCCCCCGGCTGTACTGATGGTGCCACGGGGCACCATATCAGTCACCTGCATTCCACATATACACATAATAATTTACATGGAGAAATGGAGGTGGGGGGTGGGGGGTGGGGGGGGGTGGGTGGTAGGACACCTCCCCCGGGGAAAAAATCAAATTTGGACTATTTGAGGGCATCACAATCACTTTAGCACAGTTTCCAGTTTCCGCAATGGATATTATTATCAATTTTTTGATAGGGCAATCCCCACAGGCCTAAGGCCTTCTTACAGGGATATAAACAGGAGACATTCCACAGGAAACATTTCAGGGGGAGATGTTTATAATGGATATAAACATCTCCCCCTGAAATGTTTCGAATTTTGGCTCAAGATGGCCCTCTGGGGGCATCACAGTCACATGAGGACAGTTACCCAAGGCCATCACTGCCGGGGCAGCTGAGGCCGCTCCACTTTTGCCGCCGATTGCTTTTTAGCATACTGCAACAAAGCGCGATGATCAATCCAGCTCAGCGCAAACGTGTCAAATATTGAAGAATCCTTGTTCCTGATTGTGGCGTCTTCTTGGTTTGTTGCCGAATCAAATAGCCTTCCATTGTAGTTACACTGAAATGGACACTGAAATGGCACCAACTGCCCAGAAATGCTTGCAATTGGCTTCAATTTTTGAAATTGCTTTTTCCCACCTGGGGGGGGGCTCAGACCCATGTATGTATGTACTGCACATCGCTGTAAAGTCCATATACATGTATGTGCATGTATGTGTATGTATGTAGACTGTAGAGTGATATGCAGTACATACATACATGTATGCAGGAATGAATTTATTGTCATATTTTTGCATAGCAGTTTCTGCTATATGAAATCACAATTGTGTAGCAGTCTTTGATTTTGATTAGCATTTTTCTTTGAAGGTTGGGTGTTTACAACATTGTCCTTCTTGAGAGTGATGCCTGAAAGCCAATTTGCAAAAAAAAGACTAAAGCATACATGTGCACGCATGCAGATTGAGAGTACCTGCACCACCTACACTGCCCTGTATATGTGTTACTCAGTGACAGTGCAGGCCAGGCATGGATAGTCTGTATGTATCGCAATTTTCTGCGAGTCACGGTGAATTTTGAGTAGCAGTTAGATCGATTTTGCATCGCAAACTGCGATGCGATACAGGATAAATTCATCCCTGGTATGTACTTCAAGTACACACACTGTATTGTATAGTGTATGCACTGCAAGCAGATCTATTGCAAGGCACAGTGTCAAAGGTGCTTGCATGACGGAGATCAGCGGTAACAGCCAGCGAAAGCCCACTGGCATGTGCATGTGCGCTGATCAAACTTGAGCGAGTGAGTGATTCATGTGCAGTCCATTACCGTGTGTGTGCTTACATCATACGTAAAGGCATGTACTGGTTTGTGAACTGTGCAGTGCAGTGCAGTGCAGTGCAGTACAATGCAGTGCAGTACAGTACAGTGTATTTCAGCACAGTACAGTACAGTACAGCACAGGGCACACATGTACAACACTCACCTGATAACGGTAGCATCCGATGATGTACGGCGGCTTGAGCTCCGTTATGTGGTAGATGTAACCCTTGGTCGGATGGGTACGGCCGTTGCAGATATCAAGGTCGGTGGGTTTGACGCCGTTGTCGCTCAGTGGTCCGTAGACGGGGATGCCGTCAAACGCATATCCGATCTTGGGCGAGTGCTTTCCAGGTGTGTCGGTGAACAAACATCCAGCCTGCAACAGCACACGAGCATGACCAGCAGTAACGGGGACACTACAGGTTAGAACGGAGCGCAAAGAGCTAGTCCAACAGATACAGGCAGTGTACCGTACAGAGCTAGTCGAACAGATACAGGCAGTGTACAGTTAACGTTGCGTATAATGACACACGGCGCGGCATCAGAAAAGTGTCCTTGTTCGCGAAGTGTCGTTATACCCGAAGTCTCATTATAATTATGTATTTCAGTTATGTGGGACTTTGCTCTAGGCATGGAAATTCTGTCATCATTCGCGAATTATCGTTATATCCGCAGTCGTTACTAGCCAAGTTGACTGTACCTCCGAAATCCTCCCAAGTCAGCTGTGCATTTTTTTAATATCTATTCTTTTACAAAAACACAAACCATTTGACGGTATAAAGCAGCAAGGCAGCGATGAGACATATGGAATGGCAGGAGTGGGGTAGACGCAGGGGCACCTATGCCCACCGGCGGCCTTGCCTTCCATACACTATACTGTAAGTCAACAAATACTCGGCGCATTATTTATTTTCGGCCTGAGCATTTTTGGCCAAAAATTTGTTGTGGCCGACATTTCGTTTTGCAAGGTTCAGTGTGACAGTGTACGCAAGCAGCAGCAGTACATGCCGAAATTTTTTAAATGCGACCAAGATGTACGTAGACTCCCTCGATTTAGGCTATTAAAGGCCTGTGGAGAATCCATAAATACAAATACAAATACAGATGTGTTTTAGGCCAAGGTTTAGCCGAAATTTAAAGGCACCAACAACTTGTAGACTTACAGAAGCCAGGACCCAAACTGAGAAATGTTACTCCTGGTTAGGTGAAAGTAAATTAACGTATCCGTTCCCGAAGGGAAATCAAGATGGCCGCTAGCACCCGTTAAACCCTAGCGGCAGATGCAGCGCCTAACGGTGGCCTCCTCCTTGTAGCTTCGGCAAAAGGCCCCCGCTCATCTTTCCCAGTACGACCCCCCCCCCCCCCCCCGGGAAATACCCGCTGAGCTGCATGGTATGTGAGTGAACATGCCGTCATGTACATGAACACATCTTGTAGAGTGTACGCAGAGTGTCCATTCATCTCGCAGGACATTTGCCTAACTCAAACACCACAAGGACTTGCAATCAGAAAACACCTATTTAATATTTTGATTTGGGCCAGTATGTGTGCGCGGGCGCGCACGCGTGACTCTCTCATCCTTCTTTTTCAAATCTCTGTACGTTCATCCTCTACATTCCTATATCAAACTCCTTTATATGATGGGAATCAAAACAAGCAACAACAACAATGGTGACCACGACGATGACGATAACCACGGCGACGGCAATAGCAATGGCAGCAAAAAACATCATGACACTCCTGGCCAGACACTTCTGTGCATACATTCCAGGACCGCAGGAAGCAGTTTTTCCTCGGTCCCGTGGTACCATGGCCGTTCATACAGTTTGTGTACGATTAGGTGGATACACCAGCCCTCCACAGGAGGAAACATGTGTTGGTGGGTGAAAAGTTGGTCCGGTAATAACCTGATCAACCGGACCGGTTCCGGCTCGCCTGCATTCCCACACATTACTGACCTTTGGGGCTTGGTGATGGTAGTGATATGCCCCAACCATCTGCGGATGGCCGTAGCACAAATCCATGACTTCAAAGCCGCCGCTGGTTGGATTCATGGCATCCTGATCGTTCTTGTTATACGGATTGAAGAAGGGCACACCTGAATAATATACAAAGTGAGCAAGGGGAGAGATAGATAGATAGATAGATACTCAATCTGCGGACAGCATGCTGTTTCGTTCTTTGTGAACTCATAGATAGATAGATAGATAGATAGATAGAGAGAGAGAGAGAAAGATGAAGATAGATAGAGAGAGATAGTGAGACACATGCAGATAGAAAGATAGAGAAACAGAGATAAAGAGAGGAGATACATGGAAAGAGGCAGACACATTTGCTTGATCTTGGCATGAAACGTTCATTTAAATAAAGCAGCCATTATCCCCTCTCTGACTTGTGTTCTCAGAACCTGCTCATCATTGTCAGCCTGAAGAAGGCTTAACAACATTGCAAAATAAAGGCGTTAGTACGGGACATCAGCATGATTGGGCTTGTGTTAGAATTCAACTTCACTTAGGATTGAACTAAGTGAGGGCTTTCGCATTCAAGAACAATATGAGAATTCCTACTTGGTATTCTGATAGGATATACCAGTACAGTCAACTTCGCTAATAACGACTGCGGATATAACGACAATGCGCAAATAACGACAGAATTTCCATGCCCAGAGCAAAGTCCCATCCAATGGTAATACATAACAATGATGAGACTTCGGGTATAACGACACTTCGCGAATAAGGTCACTTTTCTGATGCCCCGCCGAGTGTCGTTATAAGCGAAGTTGACTGTAGATGACATTGTGCAGGCAGGGTAAGGGGCCGTCCCTAACTATAGATATCTTACATGAAACGGAAATGCTTCATTCATGGGTGGGTGTGTCGAGGAGAGCTTCGTTTTGAAAAGTACTGATGGCATAAGCATCGATCCATTCTCGCTGTCAAGGCATAAATAATTTTACGTTCAGGGTGTGTGTGTGTGTGTGTGTGTGTGGGTGTGTGGGTGGGTGTGTGGGTGTGTGTGTGTGTGTGTGGGTGTGTGTGTGTGTGTGTGTGGGTGTGTGTGTGTGTGTGTGTGGGTGTGGGTGTGTGTGGGGGGGGGGGGGGGGGGTAGGGTTGTGACTAAACTTGTTCATTCCGTGGCAATTATCGATAATGCCGGATGGCGCCTATGACAACGCAAACTAGTACGCTGCAGGATTCCCCTTACCACTCGGAACGGCTGAATTAGTTTGATGTGACAGCGGCCTTGTACCATCAGTAAACCAGTCAGGCACGCAGGCAGGCACGCAGGCAAGCAGGCAGGCAGGCAGGCAGGCAGGCAGGCAGGCAGGCAGGCAGGCAGGCCACTAGTCTCTGGTCACCTGTCACCCAGTCAGCCTGTTACCCAGTCAAGCACCATTCACCGGTCATCATTGGCCCAGTTGTAAAGCAAATTCGAAGGCCACCAGTCAGCAAGCCGGCCAACGATCAAGCATTCAGCCTGCACACCAGCTCACTTGTCACTCAGTCAGCAGACATATCTTGTTCTCCTCACTTGCGCTTTCCCCCTATGTTACTCTGTCCCCTGTGCTCTGCTACACTTACCATTCAGGGCAAAGCCAATGGGGCCCATCGGCATAGCTTTCGTGTTTTGCATGATGTTCTGTGCTGGCACTGTGGCTTTCTTCACTGGAGTCTTTGGGATCTTCCACTGGTAGTGCTGAGCCTGCGCCAAATCAGATAAGACAGCGACGATAGCGGGTATGTGACTTGGCGTATTTTGCGGAGTATAAGACACACTGGAGTGTACGCCGCCATCAGACATTTACCCTGTACATGTGTGGTCATTTGAACATCGCAGTGTGCCGCCGCCGCACTGACTTTTCTAATTTCCAGGCCAGATTTAAAAGTCCTTTTAAAATCTTATAAGTGTGGCTTATACTTACTCCGGACAGTACGGTACCATTTTCGGGAAATTTGCTGAAGGATGCCTACGGCCATTGCAATGGGCTGATCTCAAGTGTACCTGTTCTGATCATGTAGTGCACGTCCATAGCCCAGGGTCACGTTGGGGGGGGGGGGGGGGGGGGGTGACAGGGCATGTACACCCCACACACTCAACATTTGCCATTCACTCAGAATGTGCATGTTTGGGCTCTCGGGGTGAGGGGGGAGTGGAGTTGAAATATGCCGGGTCTATTGCGTAGTCAATATTGATTGCAATGTTCGGTTGTTTCACAGCAAAAAAACTGAAGCATCACTTTGTAGAAGAGCAAGGCTATGTTTGGTGCAAGCAGTTTTCTTCTCTTCCTGTCTAACAAAACCATTGGAAAAGAGTTTGTATTGATAGAAATCTTGAAACATGGGATCGATACTTGGGAGAAATTGAACAGAATAAATTGAAAACGTGTGACCATTTTTCAGTCATTTAGCTCGCGCTGAGATTTTAGTGTAGCGAGATAAATCAGTTGAATGGATGCAATTCGTCATTCCGAGGCTCTTGTAGTGTGACCACGGTCAAACAGCAAGGTGCCTGGAACTCAGCTCAAGTTTATCGTAAAGCACAGCCGTGTCTTTTAAACTGCCGTCTTGTCTCAGCTTGAGCCCAGGTCAGTCCCCCTCGACCCCCCCCCCCCCTCCCCCCATGTTGGCTGATTGAAGTGTGGAGCAAACGGACTGTCAGAATGCGTTACCCTTATAATTATAGCATGGGGCAGAGTACGGTGACAGAAAAACCTGGTGTTAGTAGGGTTGTGGGGACATTGTACGCACACATACTTATGCCCCCTCTCCCCCCCCCCCCTCAAACACATACAAATGCCCCCTCACCCCCCCCCCCCCCCTCAAACACATACAAATGCCCCCTCACCCCCCCCCCCTCAAACACATACAAATGCCCCCTCACCCCCCCCCCCCCTCAAACACATACAAATGCCCCCTCACCCCCCCCCCCCCCTCCCCTTACACCCCTACATACATGTACATATACCGTAATGTCGCGTATAAAAACCGTTCTTATTCCTGTAGAAGCCGATGTCCAGTGCTAGGCTTCTATTCAAACCACGTATCTCTATGTATGTCAACACTAAGCCAGGCTTATGTGTTGACAGTGTATCTTAAAAATCAGGATTCTATTCAAAACAGGATTTTATACAAGATAGGCTTTTATACAAGACACTACAGTACCTCCCCCCCCCCCCCCCACACATACATACATATGTACATGTGTGTCCCCCCACACATACATGTACATATGCACTCCCCCCCCCCCCCCCACACACACACATACATAATTCCCTCCCCCTACTTACACATACATATGCCCTCCCCCCCCCCCCTTCCCAACACATACATGTACATAATGCCCCCCCCCCCCTCCCACA